GTTCCCTCCCTGTGGCACTGAAGCAGTTCCCTCCCTGTGGCACTGAAGCAGTTCCCTCCCTGTGGCACTGAAGCAGTTCCCTCCCTGTGGCACTGAAGCAGTTCCCCCCGGGCTCTGTTGCAGACTACGACGATGGGTTCTCCATGAAGCACACGGCCACGGCGCGGTTCCAGCGCAACCACCGGCTCATCAGCGAGATCCTCAGCGAGAGCGTGGTGCCCGACGTCCGCTCCGTGGTCACCACGGCCAGGATGCAAGTCCTGAAACGCCAGGTTCAGTCCTTAATGGTTCATCAGGTAAAGAGAAAGGACGTGGATGCAGCTAAAACATGGTGGTGTTGGGCTGGACTCCAGGTCTCGGATCATTTGATCGCTTACATGACTGTTCTTGCTGGGTGTCATGTTCTGTGCACTCCAAGAGCTAATCCCTAGGTTTGCTTGGGAGCTGCAGGATGTGAGACTTCACCACCTGGGCTGTTTTGTTACTGAGGATCATGTTAAACTGCACTTTGTTCTGTAGGATACCCTAGGTATTAACTCCATAGCTTTACATTATGACATACAGCCCTCTGTATTATTACAGCAAAAGTTTGCTGGGTAATAGGTGGAGTTGTGATTTCAGGTACCTGACAACTCATTACCTTGTTTGTAACGATTTCTTTTTGCAGTAAATTGTCCCTATTGTAACATTTCTAATTGGAAGTTAAACTCATACAAGGAAATCTGGTGAGGTCACACCTACGTGTTTCACCCAGCTTTGACTGGGCACATGCCTGTATTTTCCAAACACTCATGTTACCAAAAGAACCCTGTCAGCATGGTCAGTGTGCGTGTGGGTGAAGAGAGACGAGGATTAGATAGAGATGTCTTGGGTTTTTTAATTAACAGATTATTTGGAGGGTGGAGGGGGTGGTTTCCCTTCTTTCCTTTGAATTGTGGTCTGTGTTATGAGAATGTAATTGATGTGGGAGTGTGTCTGTACCTGTGGGCTGTGTATATCCAGAGCTGAGGGGTGCAGAATAGGAGAGAAAATGTGCACATTTGATGCTGGAAGCTTCATTTACAATATGCCTGAAGTGCTGCATGGGCCCATTTACTGTTCATACTTTTCAGTATGAACTTCTGAGCTGTCGGCTGTCAGATCAAGGCAGGCAGAAGGATGTTTATGTACTAGAGCAATATTTAAAAACAAACCCATACAAATATTTTTGTGCACAGCTGTAGCTTTACCCAGTTCTCAGGCGACTGCACAGTGAAGTTCTTGCCATTTATTTCACTTCCAGCGTAAACTCGAAGCTGAGCTGCTGCAAATTGAGGAGCGTCACCAGGAAAAGAAGAGGAAGTTTTTGGAAAGCACAGAGTCCTTCAACAACGAGCTTAAAAGGGTACAATTCACTTTCCTTCACTTACTCTGAGGAAGCTGCTGGTTCCCCTCTGGTACAAGTGCGTCAGTCCTGTGTTTAGTTGTGTGCAAGGACCCAGCTGCTGGGGCAGTGCCCTGGGGTGGGTGGTACAAAGCACAGGACGATTTCCTGCTCCTTCAGTGACCTTTAGTGGTGACATGGGGCCAGTACAGTTTAAGAGTTCCTCCAGGCTGGGCCTGAGAAGAAGCACCTGAAGGAAGGTGAAGCCACTGTGGAGGACACACTCTTCTCCTTGGCTGTGTTCAAATAACAAGCTCTACGTTGTTTGTTTATCCCCTGCCCCTTTATTTTTGTTAATATGCCTGTATCTCCCTAGTGACTGAAGATTTTCATATAACCTTTGTCAAATCAAAATTATGTTGCACACAGAAACACTGAACTCACCACTGGGGTTTCCTGATGTTTTGTATTTCAGCCTGAGGTAGTAAAAGAGCTTTTTTTTTTTTTTTAACTGCTAGTTATGCAGCTTGAAGGTGGAAGTGGATATGGAAAAAATTGCAGCTGAGATTGCCCAGGCTGAGGAACAGGCTCGCAAGAGGCAGGAGGAAAGGGAAAAGGAAGCAGCTGAGCAAGCCGAGCGCAGTCAGAACAACCTGGCAGCTGAGGAGGAGCAGGCAGCCAGCAAGGGGGAGGAGAAGAAGGAAGAGGAGAGCACTCCGATGGAGACAGGTAACTGCACCTGAAGACCTGCTGGGGAGTCCTCCCAGGATCTCAGAGGGTCCCTGAGGAGGCTCAGCTCAGCCAGAACAGTTCACTGCGTCTTGGTGACCACAGACGTTTGCTTCCTTACTCAGTTACTCAGTTTAGGAGGGGAGGGGATAAGAACACACAGAGCCCCCTGCCATGCTTTGTGTGTGATGTACCCAAGGGAAAAAAATGCTCTCTAACCCAAAGTTAGACATTGGTTTACTAGGAGCAACTGGGATTGTTTTCTTGTCCGTGTCCGTGTCTAGCAAGGAGGATGGAACAGCTGCTCTCAGGTGGATTTTCCAGCTGCTTTGTGCTCTGGACAATGGCAGTAGGAAATGCTGCTGGATTCAGGGGTCTCCGTGGCTGGTACCTCCGTGAGTCACTGCTGCAACAGCAGGAGCATAAGGAAAGGGGACCAAGGAGTTTGAATTCCAGTGTTTCTGGTTTAACAAGGCACATGGCTTTCCTGTGGCTGGAATTCTGAGGTCAGGCAGCTGTGGGTGACATCAGGATGCTGTGGCAGGACCACATGCATCCTCAGCGCTGAGGTCCCTCAGCTGTGCCTGTCACTGCACGTTCTGAGTGGCATAACTGCTGTGGAACACTCGGATTTATTACAGCTAAATCCTAATTGCACAACCTAAACAGACGCACTGGCATGTGAGTGACACTGAGAAATGTGTTGTTCCAGAGGAGCCTCACGCGGAGGAGAGCGCGGAGAACCAGCAGAACGGTGAGGAGGGGACCTCCACCCCCGAGGACAAGGAGAGCGGGCAGGAGGGCGTGGACAGCACGGCCGAGGAGGGGACCAGCGACAGCAACACGGGCTCGGAGAGCAACAGCGCGACCGTGGAGGAGCCGCCCGCAGACCCCACGGCCGAGGAGGGCGACAAGAAGGAATAACCACTGTGTCTGTAATGAAGTACTGTGTGATCTCAGAACGTGCTCCGCGGCTGTTGTACCTTCCCTGCCTCTGTCACTTGTCTCCAAAGGATCCCCGGGGGTTGATGGCACGTCAGGTTACCAGTGTAGCGATGTGAGGGGCCCTGTAGAGGCACAGGGTGTCCTGCAGCAGGCAGAAAAGGAACCTCATGTGTCTAGGCACGGCTGTTGCAGTGTGGAGAGGGGCTTATATCACTTGGAATTCTTCCCTAGAAAGACAGATTTGGGTTTAGTTTTGGTTTTAGGTGAGAAATCAGGCCTTCTCTCTTCCTTCTCGTTCCACAGCCGCAGTGACTGGCAGTTTTTCCAAAGGCCCTTCCTGTCCCTGTGTGGCAGCAGTGAGCTGCAGGTGTGTCTCACCCAGGCAGCAGCCCTGACTTGTCTGCACAACTGAGGCATTTAAAGCTGATGTTACTTTGGAGCAAAGGCCTGATGTCACCTGGAGCCTCTCCTCATCCAGCAGTCCGCTGTGTCCCACCGCTGCTGCGCTCTGTGCCAGCCCAGGGCAAGTTCTGCTGCAGCTGCCCTGCTCTTTGCTTTGAAAGAAGGCTTTCAGTCCTCAGGAGCAGCTCTGGAATGAGGCTGAAAGGTGGGGTTTAGGGGGTTTTCGGTGTAACTTAGTTGTTTTTCTAGAGGAGCTGCTCTACAGTGATGGAAAGTTGCTCGTGGTCTGCGTGCAGCGTGTCAGGAGATCCAGCTCCAAAGGACTCAGTGTAGTCTTGCAGTAAATGACACATCTTCAGGGATTTTTTCCTGTGGTGCAGGATTCCTTTCAGCAAGCCTTTGCTTTTCTTTACCAATTAACTCCTTTTTTTGCTACCAAGAGACCCTGGTGTGGCCTCAGCCAGAGCCCTGGCACAGTACAGAGCAGGAGAGCGTTTAAACACGCACATGTTCTCTGAGCAGACAGTCACTGATACGGCACAAATGGTAAAAAAATAGTAGTTTTGCTTGTCATGAGCTTTCAGAACCTCTGGGAACTACAAGAAAAGGCCACAATTTGCCCTATATAAGCAAAAGCCCTAAAAAAAAGAAAAAAATACATTTAATTGCAACAAAAGCTCCAGGCAACTTTTTGACTTTACAACTGAGAGAACACGTGATGCTTCAATGAATCGATGTGTTTTTTTCAGAGCAGTGGGTCTATGAGATGGTGTTTTTTAAATCCTTTTGGTCTTTTTTTTTTAAATGGTCTAAAAATAATAAAATTCAACGTTTGTTTTTTTTTTTTTAAACCCACAGTGGTCTGTTCTTGTCTTTTAAGGTAATGCCAGTGTTTGGTTCAGAGCTTTCATCATCTGTTCTCCATCTCAAGCCAGAGGAGAATAAACACATGGGATTTGATTTCTTACAGATACCAGCTGCTGCCTGGACTGGGGGCCGACCCCCACAGGGCTCAGGTGAGACTCCACACCTGAGGTGCTGCAAACCCTTGTTGTGCAACAGCTTTTATCTGCAGCAGCCCTGGGTTCTGCAGGCGGGGGGGAGGAGGTGCTTTTCATCTGCTCCAAATTCCCAAGGTGTATGTAAATAACTCATTATTGGCAAAGACGGGCGTGTGCAGCTCAGGGTGTGTCCCTGGGGGAGTGGAGTAGGTGTCATCTTCACGGGTGAAATAACTTCTCTGAGCACATGAGAACCTGAACAAACGCCCGTGGGCAGTGTTGGAGCACTGGCCAGCCCTGTGGTGCCTGGCAGAGGTGCCCACGAGGGGCTGGAGCATCAGGGACTTGGTGCAGGAGAGAGGCTGGCCTCGGCAGAAACCCGGCTCCTCTGCTGTGCTCCTGCACCAGCCCTGCCTCAGAGCAGCCACCTGGAGCTCTGATGGCCCCTGTGCCTACCTGCAGGTCCTCAGCAGGGCCAGGAACTCTCCCAGGAGGAAGAGGCCTCATGCTTTGCTGCTGGGCTCACTGGAGGAGCTCTTTCCTGGGCACTCTGTCTGGCCGGTGGGTGGGCGCAGCCGTCCCACACGGGGTGCTGAGGGCTGGCGAGTCCCTCACACCCCAGGGGACTGGCAGGGAAGCAAAGAGGCAAACCCCAAACTCCCTTGCATCTTGCAAGGGAGTTGTTTTCTTCGGTTTGCTTTTCTCTGCAAGAAAAACCAGGGGTTTCTGAGTCCGAGTCGGGCGTTGTGACCTCTGACAGCAGCACGGTGCTGCTGCTGGTTTGCTCTGCAGGAGAAGGTTGAGCCTGTGTTGGGTTGTTCTCAGAAATATGCTTTTATCTCACCACAAAAACACGCTCGGTAAAAGTTATTAAGACGCCTGGGTTAAAAAAAGAACCGTTCTGAAAGGGGTTTGGAGTGGGGGTTTTTTTTGCGTTAATGTAATAATTAGATTTTATCACCCCAAAACCCTTCTGACCTACAAAGCTGGAATACAGTAACGGGTACATAGCACGGAGCAGGGCCCAAAGGGTAAATGTTGAGAGGGATTTAGATGTTAAAATATAAACCAGGTGCCTTGTGAGGTTGTTCAGAAGCAATTCACCAGGAGAAGTGAACCCAGATGCTGGGCCTCCAAGAGCTTCACGCACCCAAATCCCTTCCAAACCCCTCACCTACATGTTGGGCTGAGCTTGGCTCCCCGGGAAAGACAAAAGCCTGGTGTTTGTGCAGCAGCTGAACTTTCAGGGGAGAAAAAAAGGCTTCTGGAGAAACAAAACAAAAAAAGAAGGTAAAACGGTCACTTGTGTATCACCCGGACAAGTCTTGCCAAGCTGCTCTGCCTGGAGCCAAACGAGCTGCAGACGCTGCTTACAGAGAGGATTATGCTGGTGACAGAAGGAAATAAAACAGATTAATGGAGCTTTACAGGGATGAAATATCAGAGCCAACCTGAACACTGGCACAGAGGGGTGGCTGGGGCAGCCTGTGTCGGAATCAGAGCCCATTCAGTGTTGTGCTGCTGCAGCTCAGGGCAGGAGTGGAGACACCCCGTCCTCTGCACCTCGGGGGCCTCAGGGGAGCAGGTCCAGAGCCCCTGAGAGGGAGGAGGTGTGGGTGGAGAGTATGTGTGGAGCAGGGTCGGACCCCTGCTCTGCTCAGGCCTTTGCCGAGGTCCCTCCTCTATCCCAGGATGTTTTCCCATTTCCCACCAGCTCCAAGTGCAGCCTCTGTACCTGCCCCGTCCCGAGGAGCCAGGGATGGTTTATTTCTCCTTCCCCCAGGTTTTGCCCTGAACCCCCAGCCAGGCAGGCCTTGCCGTTTATTTTTTTTTAGAAAGCTACTTTTTAATTCAATTTATCAAGAGCTACAAACAAATGTTCCACTGGCCACCAATCCAACCCCTCGTGCCGCCACCTCCGCTCCCCCAGCGCTGTCCTTGCTCCTGTGCTGACCTCCCTTCATTCTCTTAACTGACAAGCATTCCCAGCAGTCCCAGCTGCCGAATATTGAGGGAAAACACCCCTCACAGCCGACTGGAGACGGAAGTGGTGCAGTCTATGTGCTGGCAGAGGTGTGTGAGCCAGAGCAGGCGCTGCCACCAGGAGTCCCCATTAACCTGCCCAGAGAGGGACTGCGGGGAACGCACAGTCCTGCCCTGGGCTGTGAGCTGTGAGCAGCTCTTACTCTTTCCCTGTACAGTATCACCAGTGCCTGCCAGCAGCAGCAGCAGTTGTGGCAGCACGTGCTCTGTGCGACTGCTCAGGGCTCCAAACAACACAACCATCCCAGCTCTGAGTTCAGCTCCCCCCACCCTGCAAGCTGCTGGTTGTGCTCTCCAGGCACCTGGATGCAAAGCTGGGGGGCTCAGTTACATCAGGGAGACAGGAGGGCTGGAATTCCACGTGTTTTTCCAGGCAGGCACCAGTTCCATCCCGGGCCGTTGCAGCCAGGACTGGTTGTGCCTTCACGGAGCTGCAACACCTGGCCAGGGCTTTGAACGCTCAGTCCAGGGCTTGGATCCCTGGGTTTGAAATCCCCCCTGTGTTTGCAGGGTCTTACTGACTGGCAAACTCTCCCAGGGGGATCTGATGACCAAATGGGATCAGGCACTTGGCTTTTAGAGCCTGGATCCTGCTTCGGGCCTGTCTCACTGTTTGTGCTCTCAGTTCCCTTCGCTTTGACGTTTCTTTTTCCACAGCCTTCGAGGGGTTTTTTGAAGTGGTTTTGCACATATCAGGCTGGTGTCTTATTTTGTTGTAAGTCATCACGTACAGCTTCACTTGCGACTTCCAGAAGTCAGTAATTTCTGTCAACAACCAGTTTCAATTTGCTTTGTTCCCTCGATTCTGTTAAAAAGGCGAGAAAAAGACATTTGAGTTCTGGCACCAGTTTCAGGGGCGGGGGGTAGAAGCCAAACCAGAAAGAGTGACAGTAACAACAACAGAAATCTTTTTCTAATTACTATTTTTTGAATTCCAGGGATGAGAAATTCTATATCCATGACAGAGAGGGCTGGATGAGCTTTGCCTGGAGCAACCACTGGTGGGATTATTCTTTGTTTCTATACCCAGTTTTCTTCCAAAGACAGCAGTGGATTGGTGCTAAACCTTCCACCTTTTGAATAAGATAACACAGCTCACAGGAAGGATGTTTGCTGGATGGTCAGGGACACTTCAACCCTCAATTATTTTTAGGGGCCATAATGCTTTATCTCCCTAATCAGGATCTCTTCAGCTCCCTAAACAATTCGCTGCTCACTAGTGTTTGATACCCTGTGGGAATTCCCAGCAGTGTTTGCCCACTTCTGTGGGAAGGCTTAAACCCTCTCTAGACACAACTGGTGCTCGTGTGCCCTCCCTGCCATAGTTCTGTGAAGAAATTCCTCCTGACGTCCATGCTTTAGTGCAGGGCAGATGCCAACTTGGTAAATCTCTCTTTTTTTCCCTCAAAAAAAGAACTGGAGAGCAAGGCCATCACCTGATACGTGATGCGGGCACGAGGCGGGTGAATTCCCGGTGACACCGGCTGTGCCCTTCCCTGCTGCGGGGACCACTGTGGGCAGCTGCACACCCCCATCAGAGCTGGCACTGCACAGATTGCTTCCTCCCCCCGGGGGATAAGGATCTGTTAATAACCTCGTGGTGAGATCACAATCATGAGACAGTTTGTCAGGGCATCCCCTGCGCCCGTTCGAAGAACTCCGCCGGGCGAGGAATCCCAGCTCGGAGCCCCTCTGAAGGTCAGGAATTTACTCCATAATTTCACTTCTGCTATTTCTGTTTGTTGAGGAACGATGACATCAGATGCCCCCCCAGAGCAACCCCCGTGACTTCCACCACAAACCCCCCGGGGTGCCCCAGACATCAGAGAGGGGGGTCTGGGCAGGAGCAGAGCCAGAGCTGGGAGATCCTGAGTACCCCGGGCTGGCATTGCTGGGCAGAGGGAGCAGCAGGGCAGACGTCAGGGTCCCTCCTTGACGTCAGCACAGGGATGCAACTGGGAAGTGCAGCTGGGAAAGGTTCACCCTGCACTCACCAGTGCTTCTGTCTGGGCATCTCTGGCTTCCTCCAGCGAAGGGGATGAAGGGGACGAACCTTCCCGTGGCTCAGAACAGGGGGAGGGAGCCGGAGTTTCCATCTCAATTCACCTAAAGCAAAATCAGTGGAAAATACCAGAAAGTTTTGAATCCAGGGTATAAGAACACTCCGTGTTGTGCTTTTCTCAGACCGAATTCCGCCTCCTGAGGCAGAACCCCGAGTTTTGCTTTCCAAGACCCCCCAGCCCGTGTGTGCTGTCCAGGAACCATCTCCTGCAGCACCGGGATCCTTCCTGCCTCAGGATGTCCATGAGTTAGGACAGCCTGCAGGAATCCCAGCTTTACACACAGCCCGTGGATGTGAGACACAGAACTCGACTCCCTTACAATATTCCATGGCTGAGTGAGCCACAGTCTAACGTCAGAGCAACTCAAGATTACACAGCTCACTTCGGTTCTAACTCGATGTTTCAATTCAAGTGGAACGAGCCTGAACTGAACCGAAATCTCTCTTTCTGAGCAACTTCCTGTGGAATTTATCAGGAAATGCATTTTCGTTGAGAAGTTGATTGATGAACCTGCGGCTTGAGCAGCAGGTTTGAATCACTGACTTCCACTCTTCTGGCACTGAAGGGTCCCCACAGAGGGACCCAGGGACTGGAAATACCTGGTAACTTGATTCTCTTTATATGGTTAATTAACTTTTTATATAGTTAATTAACTCTGGGGTAACAAATGGGTTCTAGTGACAGAGCAGTGTGGCTTTCCTGGGCACGGCTCAGGCCTGGCACTGTTGGAGTTCGGTGTGTTTGCTCCCACAGGATCACAGTTTTGTGAAAAGCTGCTCATGGGGCACTCGGGTTCAGGGAATGTGTCAAAGAGATGGAATCACTGAGGCATGAAATAGGCTGGAAATATACACAATTGAATTAAGCAAAGTTTTAATAACTTCTGAGAACTCCCTGGGGATAAAACGTGACCATAAAGAAATTCAGTGTCACACACAGAGAGCAAATTGTTTATTTTAAATATTCCCATTCTTTTTAAGAAAAACAATTTGCTTGAATGGGCTCTGGCAGCACAGAACTTGGCATCTATCAAAGCTCTGAAGATGAAGATTGGGACCATGTGCAGAAAACAAACTGCAAACCACCTGCCTGCGTCCCCTCCTTGTCTTTGGCTTCAGCCAGCACAGACCTGGGGATGGATCCACCAGGACACTGCCAGCTGCCTCTCCCTGGAGCAGTGGGGACACAGAGCACGCTGAGGGGCCCATTCCCCTCTCTGCACACCCACCCCTCCCCAGGCAGTGCCGTGACCGTGTGTGAATCCTTCACACCCCCGTTACACCCCCTGATTCTGGGTATTCTGCCCGTACCCGAGGGAAGTCTTTTCATCTCTGGTCCTCTTTGGGGGAAGTGGTTACGAGATAAAGCTCTCGAGGCACCGTACCTGCCCGGGTACCTGGTGAGCAGAGGCAAACAGAGCAATAAATAGCTGCAGAGACGGGAACGGCACCCGCTGACCGAGATAAGTGCCAGGCGAGGTGCAGGGGCAGCACACAGAGCACGCCAGGGGAGGTGAGGGTCACGTTGGGTGAGCAGGGAAAAACCCCCATGGTCCTCAAGCACCCTGCCCTGAGCACCCCAGAACGGGCTCAGAACCACAGCAGCACAGGCCCACTGAGAGAGAAACACTGGGAAGGATTTTAAGTGACAGCCGGGCTGTCACCACGTCTAAGGATGGTCTGAAACTGGATCTGGGTCTTTACACAGGATCCAAGACCATCCACAGGACCCTCAAGACTATCCTCAACTTCAGATATATTTAACTGGGGCTGGGATTCCATCCTGTGATGCTCTGTTTTTCCACCTGGCTGCAGTAACAGCACTGGCACAGCGTGAGAGGATGGACAGGACGTGAGGCCAAAGGCAGTAATTCTAAGTGACCCTGGCCTGGGAGGAAACTGAGTTTATGAGGAGCTGGAGATGTTTCTGCCTGTTAGAGGGGTCTGTTCCAAGAGCAGGGCCCCCCTTGGACACCCACCAAACAAAAGCCACTGATTTGCCTTGGGGGAAGGAGTGGGACTTCCAAAGTGCAGAAGATTTGGGGAAGATGGTGCAGATGGGAGCACAAAAATACCCAAAAGCAGAAAGAGGGGAAGTCACTGAGCTGCTGACAGTGTCGTGAGGGAGAAGGGTGAAGGGCTGCTGGCCACGGGCAGTCCTGTGCACTGAGCCTTTTCATCCTGAACACCCTTCCCAGAACGGGTCTGGCAGGCGGGATGGATCCTCCCCATTTCCTCCAGCACTGGGCTCTGCGGGTGCTCCACGGATGAAGCAGGACCTGCTGCAGAGGGGAGGTGAGAAGGAGCCTCCTTCCCCTGGTTCCCTCACTGCAGACCATGTGTTGGGGCAGAAGCAGAGCCCACCTCACACCCTGTGTGGCAGTGACAGCCCTGGGTGTGTGGGACCTGCCAAGGCAGCACCGCAGGGCTCCGAGCACATGAGGAGGAGGAGGAGGAGGAGGAGGAGGAGGAGGAGGAGGAAGGGGAGGAGGGTCTGCTGAATGTCAGTGACACCAGGGTGCCTGGTGTCACCGGGCTCCTCGCAGGGGGCAGGAAGTATAAAAGCAGAGTTCCCCGAGGAGGGTCTCTGGCAGCAGCTGGAGCTTGTGATGCTCTCACTGACACTGTGACCAGATCCCTGCTGGAACCACACCATGGTCGGGGGTGAGTACCTGGGCTGCAGCCTCTGGCTGTGTCTTCAGCTTTATTAATGGTGCTCGAACTCCTGCCCTGTGACACAGGAGTGGGACGCTTCTATCAGAGTATTTAAACAGTATAAAAGACTTTCATCTTCCTCATTTTTACTATTTAAAAAAAAAATGCACAGTTCTCTTTCAGAAGCTCAGAAACCTCAAATGACTTCAGAAACAAACAGGCAAAAAACAAGTGTGGAGGCAATGTTATGGGCTCTTGTGTCCCAAAGCAAATGGGCTCTTCTTGCATAGTCCACACCTTTTCTTCTGTGTTCTTAGTTAAAAAAAAAAAAAGAGAGAGAGAGAACACTCTCTCCTTGGCAATGTTATAATTCAGTGAATAAATTGAGGAATTAGGAGCAAGTAAAGCTGAGGTTGTTCGCTAAGTCCATCCAGTCTTTTGCAAATTATTTTTATTGATGAATATCTGCAGGAACACTGGGGATGCAGGAGGCTCTGGGGATGCAAACGGCTTTGGGAATTCAGGATGCTCCAGGGATGCAGGAGGCTCTGGGGATGCTCCAGGGATGCAGGAGGCTCTGGGGATGCTCCAGGGATGCAGAAGGCTCTGGGGATGCTCCAGGGATGCAGGAGGCTCTGGGGATGCAGGAGCAGGCAGGAGGGGCCGGGTCCCACAGGACACTCCAGGCAGGAGCAGGGAAGGGGCTGAGGGAATCTTCTCATGGATGCCTTCTCACAGCCTCCGGCAATCAATGGCTAAGGAAATTCCTGGATTTTAGAATCCTTGCATCCAAACCAACACACCAGAACCCATCTGGACCTGCCCACCACACAACACTCTCCTCCTGTTTAAACTTCTGGCCTTTGCATCATCCCATGGGCGTTTTGTGGCTGCTTGTTCCGAGGGGTTTGGTGTTTGGGGGCAGCTGAACTCGAGCTTAGCTCTTGGAAAAGGCAAATCATGACAGGGAAAAGAAAGAGTTAGTGAGAATCTGACAAGAAGAGTAGGATAGTGTTCCTGCTTTGGGGTTTTTGTCCCACTGTTGTATTTCAGAGGAATATTCCATTCCTCTGGAAGATGCCCAGAGGTGGTGCTGTCTTTGAAACGCTTCTGGCTCACTTCAGCCTGAGGCTTTTAACTTGCTTATCCCTGCTTATCTTGTCCTTTGATTCACAGTTTCCTGAAAGGAGTGGAGGCAGATAATTATTAACTTTCTTCTGTAACAGATCAGTGAACACAAGAAATAAGAGCATGACTGGGTTTCTCTGGTCTGCTCACTCCTGAAATGAGGTGTCCTTGCCCTGCCGGTTGTGAGGGGGGGAAGGCACAGAGCTGTTAACTGCCAATAGCCATTAGATCACTTAAGTATGATTAACTTTTCTCAGAAATACCCGATTCTTCCCCCAGAAGCCTCTGTGCTGCTGGTGAAGAGGCACCAGAAACTGGTACATGTATGAAGGTGCAGAGAGTAAGTTACTCCCTGCCTGCACGTGTGCTGAGCGGGAACTTTTGCTTTGCAGTTCCAGGCGACCAAAAAATGTTCTTTCACCACGAGGGTTTGGCCAGGGCAGGTTTGCTCAGCTTTGCCAATGGTCTCCAAAGCATTCCCAATGCTCCCTAAAGCCTTCCCAATGCTCCCTAAAGCCTTCCCAGCCTCTGCTTTGCTCTCATCCACCCCTGGGCAGTGGCTGCTCCCCCAGCGTGAGCCAGACCCGTGTGGGCAGGAGCTGCCCTGGTCCTTTGTCCAGCCTGGTTTAACCACCCTCAGGGTCATGTCTCTGCTCCTCTCTCCTCCTCGGGGCAAATGTCCTGCTTCCAAATATTTCTCGCTCTCAGAAGCTTTCCCAGGTGTACTTGGGGGGATTCACTGTCCCTGCAGCTGCTCGTACCTTGCTTACAATTAGCTGCTGATTCTCAGGCAGATTCAGATAAACTGAGTGAGATTTACCTTTCCAAACTCACCCACCCTTCTGCCACAGCACAGCCCAGGTGCCCAGCCCAGGACACCTGAACCATGATTTAAAAACATCTGTTTCTTTCCCTTTGCTATTGAGGGAGCCTGAACAGCTCACCAGGTGTCAAAGGATGAATCCCACCCCTTGGGCTTAATCTAAGGAGGAAGATTGTCAAAACTGATGGGCTGCCATCCCCTGCCATCAACAGACCCCTTCCCTCCTTCATTCCCATGGAGCAATTCCCCTTTCCACCTGTCCCTGGGTCCTGCAGGACAGGGACAGCAGCAAACCAGCACCTCCCAGGCTGAGGGACGTGGGGGCTGACACGGGGCTTTATGGCCAGGCTGACTCATTTGCTGTGGTGGGGTTTTGGTATATTTTTATAAACAAGGTTTCTAGTGCAACTGGTTGTGGGGATTTTTGGGAGGGTTTTTTTTTTCCCTTAATATTTTGAGGAACAAAACTTTTAAGAATTTTTAAGAAAATACCCAGAGCAGCCAACTGCCAGGGGGTGTGAAAAAAGAAAGAAAAAGTAAGGAAATGTACCTAAACTGGCTGATAAACTGCAGAGCACAGCTCATGTCTTCTCATTTGCTTCTGCCCAGCGCCCCAGGCCCCAAGAGAACTGAGGGGAGACCAAGGTTCTTGTCCAGTCTCACTGAAACCAGTGGCACAGACGAGCTCAAACTGGTGTGTGAGGAGCGGGAGGCTGCAGGGCCTCTGGGCTTGAGCCTTTGCAAATGTGTAACCTGAGGTGGGGGCACAGCAAGAGGGGCAGAGACAGCACAGGCTTTCTTCATATTGAAAAGTCATTTGACATTTAAGACACTTGAAACAGCAACCGAGAGGGGGAGGGAAAACTGTGATGATCTTCAAAGGAATGATATGGGCTGAACTGTTCCAGGAGTTGGTTGAGTCACGTTTTCGGTCCTGTTTTGTTAGACCTTCACTAGGTGATAAGAAAACAGAACACAACAGAGCAGAGCAGCCCTCACCAGGGCTGGGCACTGCCACTGCTCATCTTCAGCCAGGGCTGGGCCTGGGGTTTGCAAACCAAGCCATGGAGAGCAGCTGGTGGACTCGGGTTTAGGTCGGTGCTTTCCTCCCTGGAATGAGGGTGGTTCTCCTCTGCCTCCTTTTATCCAGCTGCCAGGGAGGTAATTGCATTTGAGGCCTCAGTCCCTGCCTGGTGGGGCTGAGCTGGGCCAGCACAGGTTATCACCCACCCACAGGGACTTATCATCCATCCACAGGCAGCCACAGCACCAACCCCAGGAGTCCCCAAGGAACCAGGCTATTCAGGAGGAGCAACAGAAGAATAAAGAGTCCCATGGCTGGGTTTTTGCAGAGATCAGGGACCCTGTGCCCGTTTCCCAGCAGGGAGAGCAGTTACAGTCTGGGCTTGCTTAAATCACTCAGCAGGTCCCAGTCCTTGGGCCTTTCCGTGTCTTTCTTGTGTAACTGCAAAGTCAGAGCAGCAGCTCGAAGGGGAGACAACCACACCAGACACCAAACCTCTTCCTGCAGTCTGGGACTGCTCAGAGTGAAAGCCAGTGGCCAGAGAGAACAGACAGACAGAAGCTCCCCTGTCTCCCCTCAGGCCCAGCCTTGCTCTCCCCCCCTCCTGACTAACCCACGCTGAGGGTGCCCTGGTGAACCCCTCAGGTCCCCCCAGGAGGATCTGGAGAAGGTGAGGGGTGGGTGGACACAACCAAGCACGCAACTGCATGAGTATAAAAGATGAAAATGGGGGGGGAGGTGAGACACAACTGCTAGGGGATGTTGGGGAAGGCTGTTACACAGGCCTGGGGACGAGCAGCGTGAGTTTTCACACGTGGCTGAGGATCTCTCACCCACACATCACTGTCGTGTATAAACAAACACCCCCAGTCCAGATACTGAGTAACTCTGTCTGTTATTAGTGATGCTGTTGCGTGTGATTTGATGTGGGGACGTGGTGCAATGGGTCCAGTTACCTGAATAGTGCAAGTTCAACATCCTGGTCCTGTGCAACACCTGAGCAGGAGCCCGATAGAGCAGGGAAGGGCACAAAGGAGCTCTGAAACAGCAGAGCTGTGTCCAGCAGACACTAAGCATGAGAGGGGCACAGGAATCAGTCACATTCATGAACAACCAGGCCATGAGGAGCAAGGCAGAGTTCCTAGAAGAAACAGGCAACTGAAAGCCAAAGGCAACTGAAAGCCAAAGGCATCTCCTCGCTCGGTGCTCCCCGAGCAGATATCCCACAGGGAGCGAGGGGCTGCAGTGTGGGGAGCAGCCAGGGCCTGGAGGGACATCCTAGGGCAGCAGCACGACACTCCACAGCCAATGCCACTGTCCCTCAGGGAGGGACTCTTCTCCTGCTCACACCAGAGCAGAGCCCGGGGCTTTCTCACTTCCAGCTGAGCAAACTTTCAGTGGCAACTGCTCGAGGTAGATGCTGGTACGAGCTTTAAATAGAGAGAGGAGAAAGCTGTCCTGGTCCCTGCCCTGCAAACCACAGCAGGAAGAGCTGCTCGGCTGAGATTGCTCTCACCACCATCACACCTGGCTCTGAATTCAGTTCTTCCTCCCAGCTGTCAGCGTCCTGTATCTCCACATCCCAAGGCAGCAGAAGCCAACTCTGACATTTAGAGAGGAGCAATAAATTTCAGGCAGTTCCATCTGTCCCAGGGGGGAGCTGGCACTGCAGGGGCATAGCTGGGCTGGATTTATGGCCCTCACAGCTGGCTGTTTTCACGTGGGTTAAGCTGCACAGGCACAGGGGACAGGCTGCTGGCTGCCTGCAGGGAAAAGTAATGGATGAAATCAAAATGGGTGCGCTGTGCACAAGTGTCCTCAGCTCTCAGTCTTCACTGGACAGGGCTCTGAGCAACCTGGTCTGGTTGAAGATGTCCCTGCTCACTGCAGGGGGTTGGACTGAATGACCTTTAAAGGTCTCTTCCAACCCAAACTGTTCTCTGGTTCTATGAAGCTGGAGGGAGCAGACTCCTGAGACTTCATCCGTGCTCTGACAGTAACTTGTGTGACCCTGGGTTATCCTGTTGGCATCTTCACCAGGTTTTGATTTCCCCAGCTGTGGGGGCTCTGTTTTTTCAAACTGAGAACCACGTGGAAAGCCCCACTGAGCCACTAACACAGCATCTCCTTCTTTCCTAGGCAAGAAGCTAAAGGTCACCCTTGTTTTCAGCCTGCCACTCGTTTTTCAGGTAAGATGTTTTTAACAACATTTTGAAATCCAGCTGCTCTGTGTTGTGGCTAAAGAGAGATCTCAAAAACTCAGAGCAGCCACCCACAGCCCCAGAGGTGTGTGGGGACAGGGCTGCTCACCCCAGGATCCAGCCGTGGGAGGTGGGAGGTGAGAGCAGAGCCCTGCTAGAGAGACACAAACAGGAGGGACAAAACCAAGGAGGGAAAAACAGTGACACAAACGCTGTGATTTTCAAATGGCCGTGGCTGTGAGAGTCCCCTGTCAGCCCCAAAATGAGCATTCCCAGGACAGACAGGAGCACCCTATGCTGACAGTGGGGAGCAGTTGGTTCCCTGCTCCCTGCAAATCCCTGGTCAAGGTGCCAGGCTCCAACCAAGGGCTGTGCTGGAGAGGGATGTGCCCAAGGAGGAAGAGCCCAGCATCTTCCTCTGCCCGTTCCTGCTCAGAGTCACCCTGACCAGGAAGGAGAACCCCAAGCACGGAGCTGTGCCATGACCTGCTCCCAGACTGGGGCCTGGCCCTGGGGCCTGCAGTCCCAGGCAGCACCAGCCCCCCCAGGCCCTTGGGGCTCCCTGAGGCTCAGGCAGAGCCGAGCAGCCCGTTCTTTTCCCTTTCACTGCTGGGAGGATGTGGTGAAACCAAACCTGCCGAGATGGCGAGCACAGAGATGCTCATGATAACGGGGGGGGTATCCAGGGGAAACCTTTCATCTCTGTGAGATGGGGAGAAGGTTCTGGAGACTAATAAGTCACAGAAAGCAGGGCACAGATACCACAGGCTCCCTCTGCCCCACAGCTTATGGCAGTGTAGGAAGATGAAACAAGAATAATCAGAACTGAAATCAGGGGCCTGAAGGAGACACCGGTACCGCGTCTGCGCCGGCCCGGAGCAGCTTCCTGCTGCACTCACTGCATTTCCTCACCGTCCCACTGCCACCTCTGTTCATTTTTGATTTAGCTGAAGGATGTTTTATTTCTCACATTTGACCCACCAGCCAGCTGTGTACACACAGCTGGAGGTGGGCCCTGGAACACTCTGGAAAGCTGCCACACGTCTGAGGGTTTTGCAGGTGTTACCTTGGCTGAGCACTGAACATTTCTGGTGGAATTCCCACTTGGAGCCCCCCAAAAAGCCCCAAACTTCCCCCCACACTTGTGGGAAATGTTTTCAGCCACAAGGCCATGGCAGCTCTGTTTGTGATGCTGGCACGAGCCAGCTCTTGGGAACTCCCTGAGACTCCTCTCCAGGCTCCCTTCCCGGCACGGCCACGCAGGCGCGCGGTCCCATCCCAACGCTCGTCTCTTCTTTTCCTGTTGTAGTTCTGTGCCGGGGACAACGTCACCGACGACTACGACTCCAACAGCACCATCGACTACAACCTGTTCGAGACCCTGTGTGAGAAGAAGGAGGTGCGTTCGTTCCGCGCCGCCTTCCTCCCGGCCATGTACAGCCTCATCTGCTTCACGGGGCTGCTGGGCAACGGGCTGGTGATGCTCACCTACATCTACTTCAAGAGGCTGAAGACCATGACGGACATCTACCTGCTGAACCTGGCTCTGGCAGACATCCTCTTCCTGCTGACCCTGCCCTTCTGGGCCGCGAGCGCGGCCACGCACTGGCTTTTCGGGAAGTTTGCCTGCAAGGCCGTTTACTGCATCTGCAAAATGAGTTTTTTCAGTGGGATGCTGCTCCTGCTGTCCATCAGCATCGACAGGTACTTCGCCATCGTCCAGGCGGCCTCGGCCCACCGCCTGCGGCCCCGCATGATATTCATCAGCAAGGTGACGTGCGTCATCATCTGGCTCCTGGCCTTCATCCTCTCCACCCCCGAGCTGGTTCACAGCGGTGTGAACAACCTGGAGACCCACCCTCGTTGTTCCATCATCGCTCATGACCTGCAGACCTTCAACACTGGCATCAAAGTGTCGCAAATGGTGTTCGGCTTCTTAATTCCCCTGCTGGTCATGTCTTTCTGTTACCTCGTCATCATCAGAACGTTGCTCCAGGCCCGCAACTTTGAGAAGAACAAAGCCATCAAGGTCATCATCGCTGTGGTCATTGTCTTCGTCGTCTTCCAGCTGCCCTACAATGGTGTCATGCTGGCCAAGACCATCTCGGCCTTCAACCAGACCAGCTCGTGTGAGGAGAGCAAGAAGCTGGACGTGGCGGATGACGTGACCTACACCCTGGCGTGCTTCCGGTGCTGCCTCAACCCCTTCCTCTACGCCTTCATCGGCGTCAAATTCCGCACCGACCTCTTCAAGCTGCTGAAGGAGCTGGGCTGCCTGAGCCAGGAGCGCCTCTGGCAGCTCACCAGCTGCCGCGAGAGCAAGAGGTCCTCCTTCGCCATGGAGACAGAGACAACCACCACCTTCTCCCCGTGAGCCGAGCCCCAGGCGCGCTGGGGCCGAGCTGGAATGGTTCTGAACACTTCCTCTGTTCTGAACTCCCGGCAGAGCAAAGCCTGCCAAACTGCAGGGAAGGCAAGAGGAAAACCCAGGAGCCTCCCCCTGGGGAGAAAATCCAATAGAATTGTCACTAAGAGCAAAGCAAGGGAGAGGTGGTGAGTGTACAGTTTCTCCTGCCATTTCACCTTTAGTTTAGTCTTTCCCAGTCAAAATCAGAAATGCCCAAAATAGAACATTTTCCCTAAAAGCAACAAATACCCAGAGAAACAGACACTGGTGCAGCAGAAATGTTTGGTTTGGAGCTGAGCTTCCAGGAGCATCACCCTTGCTTTGGATGTCACTTTTAACAAGACAACCTGTTGCTCTGGAGCCCTACAGAAATGCCCCTTGCACTGAGTCAGTCCAAGACAAACCAGCACCCACAGCCTTTGCCTCACCCTCGATCCAACACACAACACCAGCTCTGGAGCACCCGAGCACATGGCTGTACTCTGCCTTCCCCCATCAGAAGCCAGAAATGTCTATAACTAATAACAAATCCATACAAATTATAGCCACAATTCCAATTACTTTGTACAACACTGTGGCCACTCGTAGGTTTGTCGGGAAAAGTACAAATTCCACTTCACTTCTGCCTGTATCCTCTTTCTGTGCTATCACCTGCTGGCTTCAAGAGACAAACATGAGGGTGGGTTTTCTCCTTCCCCTCCCAACCAATGTGTCCTTCTAGCAGGACTTCAGCTGCCTTTGAGGTCAGATCTGTGTTTCACTCATAAGCTACTGGGACGTGTTTTCCCTCGGTGCTGTCGGCACCAACTAAGACGCCGCTCGCCGGGGTTTGATCTAAACGCAAAGGACAGTCATGTGTGGAAAATCCCTGCCAGGGCCACGGCAGCTGAACAGCAGATTGCCATGGAAAGTCTGTCATGGAAAGTCAGACCTTGGAAGAGGCCGGGCTGTAATTCCAGTTGGCGCTTTCACGGGAAGAGCGAAGATTCCTGCTGACAGATGACCACCCTGGGAAGCGCCGCCGTGGGACAGCTGCACGTCAGGGGGAGCTGCTGCAGGGCCTGTGCAGCTGTTCCTGCCCTTGTCCCGGGGGCTCTGATCCCACAGCTCTCCCACAGCCACTGGAGAGAGCTCTCAGCCAGGAGCCTCTCCCAGGGCTGGCAGGGGAAGCCTGTCCACGTTCCCCTGGACACACAGAGCCTTGTGCAGCAAAACACTCACTAAACAGACATTCATCCTCCTTTTCAACACACGGATCCATCGGCAGTGACACAGGGAACTCCGTGGATTGCAGGTTGGAAAGCATTGCCTTAGGGACACGGGGACTAAAATCAGCCTTACAGACCTGCCTGCCACCATAACTAAATCAATTCTTCACAAACCATTTGGGTCTGGGGTATGGCATTTTGCCAGGGGCTGGGATTTGGGAAGAAAGGATGTTCTGCTCCCTGTTACCTGTCTGTGCTGAACTGCTGAACTCCTTTTCTTTTACAATGCTCAGGTGACTGCACAGAAGTGCTGCTTCTCTGTCACATGGAGCAGGGGGTGACAGCTGACACTGAACAGTCATTTGTCCTTGGTTTGTTCCTTGTCCTCACTCGAGCAAGGCACAGCTCCTGAGAGCTTGGCCAGAGCAAGGGACACGCCCAGCACAGGGGCTTTGCAGTTTTCCTCATCAGTAACAATAAATTCTTAACGAATATTCAATATGTAAAGCTGCTTTACACAGACAAAGCTCAATCTGTTCATGAATGTACCCTGAGAACACACTGCTGCCACAGAACCTTTCATGCAGAATCCATTCACCCTGTTCCAGCGAGGAAACTGCTCCACCAGCACAGGGAGCTGGACTTGTCTCCTGTTGACAAAAGCCATTCCCCTCCTGCAAATGGAGAGGTCTCCAGGTCTTTATGGGCCACAGGACAACATGCAGCTGCTTCCATAAAAGAGATCCAAGGGCATCATGTGGGACAGCTGGTGCCTCAGTGAGGCAGTGGCAATGCCAGTGAGCAGCTTTCCTTGTTTAAATTTAATGGACAGAACAAATTTGCATCTGATTTAGATGAGTCACGTTAACATCGGCCTAAGATCCCAACTCGAGGCTCCCCATTGATGTCTGAAAACTGACTGTATTTTGCTATTTGTGAAAAAATAAATTATAATGATTTAAATAAAATATCTTTAGTTTTCCATTGCATTTTCTCCATCCTTCTACAGTCCCTGTCACCTCCTTTTTGTCCTGTCAGGAGCTGTTTGATCAGCTCAGCCTCGTACCGGTGCTGCCCTGCAGGAAAGGAACCATGTAAAATAAACTAAATAGAAATAAGTTGGTTTACTCCATCTGCTGATGGATTATACCGGAAACAAGTCACCAGCAGGTTAAGGAGTCTTTATTTTAACTATTAACCCACCTGCCTTAACGCTGCTCCACAGCTGGATATACGTGATGGCTGCTCACCAATGATTAAGTGGAAAGCCTTTGTGCTGTAGCATTTTATTGTTCACTTTTAAATTAAAATTCAGCAGTAAAACACAGTGTTACTGTGGGAATTGCCACAGGGACAGGCAGCAACCACAGCTCTGGGGGGATGCAACCCCCCCCAACCAGAGTGAGAGGAGGAACTGCGACTAAAACAGGCCAGTGTGGCTCCATCAACGTGCACACAACGTTCCTTCCTGAGCCACTTGTGCCTCAAGGCACTCAGGGATGACCCACATCCCTTACAGAAAGTGTCTTGTGAATTGCAACCACAGAGTCAAAGAGGAAGGACCTCGGAGAACGGGAGCAGACACGAATCCAGACAGGTGAGTGCCAGGGCTGAGGCCCATTTCTGCTTTCACTGAGCGACAACGACTCACGGTTTCTCCCAAAAGAGAAAGCACGAGGTGAGTTTCAGCATCTGGCCCAGAGGTTCAAGAAGAAAAGGGCCGCAGGTTTGCCATAAACTACATAAAAGTAGGAGAGACAGCAGCCACTCAGTCAGTTGTGTGGAGTCTGGGTGGTTCCTGCAGTCCCTTCTCCACGTTACTGGGGGAAATCTCCATCACTCGGAAGCCCTGGACTCCTCATTGCTCTGGGTAAGCGTTGCTGCTGGACGTTTCTCCTTCCCTGATGGACATTTCTCCTTCCTTCTCCTTATCTGTGCTCATGGATGTTTTTAAATTATGGCTTGAAAGCCCTTAGTGCCAAATGGATCTGGGCTGGGTGGGAGGTAAACTGGAACGAGGAGGAGGTGAACTGGAACTGGGGGAGTTGGCAGTTGCTCCCACCCATCCCAGAGCAGGCACTGGTGTGTCCCCCCTCCTTGTGCTGTCCCAGGTGCTGCTCCCCATCATTTTACTGCTGAATGACCTGATTGATGGGAAAGGGAAGGGGAAAGTTCTCCAGGCAGGGCTGTGGTTTCTGATGTGCCTCCTGGGCAGCTGCAGGAGGGAAGTCCTTGTCACCCTAAGAAAGAATGAGCTGGAGATGAGAGAGGCAAACAAACCCTAAAAATACTGCCCGTGGGTGATGAGGAAGGGTGGTGGCAGGGCTGCAGCATCAGAATAGCTGAGAGGGGGCCATGGCTTCCTCCCCACTGCTTCTTTTACAGGGAAAAATAACCCCCACTCCTGTTCTGGGGTGGAGGTGTCACACCTCAGGGGAGAACTTCTTGTACAGCTGCCCTCCTCCCCAGCTTGCAGAGCTGCCTCCCCCAGAGGGGACAGTGGTGGGGGGGTTCTGTCCATCCCAGTGTCACTGTAAGATGGATCTGGGGAAAGTGAAGGCAGCTGAGATCTCACCTGCCCCTTGTTTGTGTCATCATAAGCAGCTTCATGAGCTCAAAGCAAGTAAATCAAAGGGTCTGACCAGGACTTTTCATGGATTAGAAGGTGGCAGGGTCAGCTCAGAGCCAGCAAGAACAGTCAGATTATGAGGAAAAATAACTAGAAATAACAGCATCGTGCTGCATTTAATGACAGCAGCACAATCCACTCCTAGTCCACCTTACAGCCCGTCCTGCTCCTTCCCCAAGCACTAAAACAAGGTAAAACGTCCCTTTGCAGAGCACTGACCTGGCTCTGTGCTCACACCACGCGTGGGAGCCCTCCCGGCCTCTCGCGAAAGGAAACACGATTTCACGTGTTAAAGCCTGGTAGAAATCGCCACTTTCCCAGCCCAGCCCTGGCAGCCGCCGACCTGCCTTCACCCAGAGCCATTCCTCACGTTCACTGAGCCCCCGGCTCTGCAGGGCTGAGCGTTACCCAGGCAAGGGAGTCGAATCTCGGTATTAAACCACCACCTGTCGCTGCCACAGCTTGTTACAAAAACCTCGTTCAGGTCTGAGCAGGCAGGGAGCCTTCGGGCTCACCCGCTCCACGTGCAGGACGGCTGCAGAGCCACCCCAGGCACGAGCTCTGTCACTGCTGAGCCCGTGCAGCTCCTCCGTGTGCGCGCAGGAACCGAAACTTCCCTTCCTGCTGCTTTGTTTTTAATTCAATTGTCTAAAATAAGATAACGAGCAGAGAGTTACTTTCCTTTCTGTGCTGCTGAGAGCCCGGCACAAAACTAATTGTTGGGCGATATTTGGGCTTTCTTGGGAAACCCGTGTGAATGCAGGACAATTCTGCAGGAGAATCATCCTGCAGGGCAGGAACAGGCCAAGTGTTCCCAGTGGAATGGACAAAAAGGCCTTCCAGGATTTGGAGTCTGCCCGTGGTGCCCTGTACCAAAATCAGACTTTCTCCCACCGATTTCCAGCTCCTGCATCCTGCAGGTTTCACCCACAGCTTTGTGCCTTCTCCTGAGAGAATCTCCCATCTCCATGTGAAGCTCAGTGAGCAGACACACGTGTCCAGGTGTGCACACGTGTCCCAGCAGCCCTGGTTTCATACTCTGGGGCTACAACAGCAGAATCCAACCCTGCCGGGGCAAAACCCAACCGCCAGAGCTGCACAAATAGAAACTCATGTTTTCAGGGGAGAGTTGACTGATTCCCTGGGAGATAACATGTTTTTTTCAAAGTTTTGGCCACACCGAGCAGTGAGAATGAGCCTCAGCCCCTGTGCCAGGGCGGGGAGGGGGAGAGGAAAAACAAAGCTCTTTGTGGATGACTAACCCAGGCAGCACCATCGCTCAGCTCCGCGGGCGTTGCACAAGCCCCTTTGAAGAGCTTCACACCTTCACAGGTGGGTCCTGGTGGGTCACAGGGGATCAGCCCACAAGGCTCCTGCTCAAACTTCACCCCCCGACCTCGTGCAGAGGGTGGGAGCCGTGGAGCTGGACCCCCAGAGATATGGCTTCCACCAGACTTCGGGGGATTGCAGCAGAGCTGGAAGGGCACCAGATCCGTGCGAGACTCATCCAGCTGTGTTGCCAGCAGCCCCTGACGGGCCTCCACACCTCTCCCCTCACGTGCCAGCGCTGCCTGCGCAGCCCAAACAGCCGGAGGCGTGAGGCTGTTTTGGAGCTGCACAGAACAACCAACAGAAAGGTCTCCCCAGCACCACAAACAAGCCCTGAAAGGCGCCAGAGCCTCCTGCCTCCCCTGGGCAGCCTCTTCAGGGCACTGCACGGGCTGTGGCCGTTGGACGTGCCAGAGAAGGTCACCATGGAATCACAGAGTGGTTTGGCTTGGAAGGGACCTCAGGATGGGGGAGCACCCCCAGGGCCACTCGGGCACAGAGACGATGCCCCAGTGAGAGATCAGCTCTGCAGAAGAGCTGCTTCCCCCAGGGGGGCTCCTGGTGCCTGCCCACCCCATGGACCTGCTCCCGAGCCCTGGCAGGGGAATGAACCCCCTTTTTTAACATCAGCAATGCAAAAGGAGCCTTTCGGGTGACCCGCAGTCCACGGTCACCATCCCCTTTTGGCTGTGGCCATCCCAGCCCTGGTAACCAGCAGAGACAGAGCTGGGCTTTTTCAGGAGAGCAGGGATGTGATCCATGTCCTTCCCTCGGAGCCACTCTCCTCTCCTCTTGCCTTTTGTCACAAGTTCTCTCCTCTTGGGAGAAGGATCCCAAGCAAACCCCTCATCTCTCCACGGGTAACCAGGACCCCGCAGTGCTTTCCTTGAGAGCTGCTGACACCATGTGGGAACGGCTGGGAAGTGATCCACAGATGCTCCACCTGCCCTCCAAGCCAGGACTCCTGCAAAAACTCGGGAAAACTTACCCTGAAGTAAAGGTGTGGGTTCAGATTGTATCAGTGCAATCACAATTAATCCCTCCATGAGCAATCAGGCCAAATGGTACAGTTGTTTCACTTTGGTTTAATTTAAATCTACTGGAAGTGATTTGAAAATGGCTTTGATTCACTTGATTTTTCCCTCTGGATCAGTCCGTGCCTTTTCCATGTGATTCCAATAATCCATTCCCAGTGCTAAACTGTGTTTCTTATATCTTCCCATAAAAATTACATCCCCCACGGATCATCTTCCACTGGCTTCATGCCCAGAATACCTAGAGAACTCTGAAAAACGTGAATGGCCTTTTCCAGCCACCTCCTGCCACGTGGGACCCTGTGGGAAACTCCGGTGCAGCTGCTCTGGAAAAATCCCAGCCAGGATAAATGGGATTCGTCAGGCAGCAGAAGATGCTTTTTTTCCAAGCAAATTTTTTACAAACACACGTTTTTCCTCGCGGGGCCCCATCGTGCTTTTCAACCCCTCTCTCACCCCGTGAGAGCTGGTGGCTTCAGCTTCCCAGCCTGAGCTGAGGAAGGTGCTGTTATCACAGCCCAGGCCTCGCTGGGTTGATGACTCAAAGAAGTGTCACCGACGTGCAGGTGGGGACGAACGTTGCAGAGGTGTGAATTTTGCACCCTGGGGAAGCCACAGCTGGCAGAGGTTGGGACAGAAGCTCCCACAGCAGATGGGCCCCCGAGGCTGCCAGAGCTCAAGGAGTGTTTGGACAATGCTCTCAGCCACAGGGTGGGATTTTGGGGCGCCCTTTGCAGGGCCAGAAGTTGGACTCAATCCCTGGGGACACTTCCAACTCAAGATATTCCATGATTCTGTATTTGTCAGAAAAGAAGCACAGGAAAACTTACAGAATTTAGTGCAGACGTGTTTATTTCTGGCACTTTTTTGGGGGGAGGGCGGCCAAACCCCTCAGACACTCTC